TACTTGGCTGGGAAGGTCTTCACATGCATGCGGGTTTTGGCACGGTCTGAATGCCACGGTCTGGGGGCTTGACCGTGGAAACCTTTACACATCTTCGGCGTTTGACACGGTTAACTTGCCACGAGTCCCAGATGAAGCTTGATCAGACCGTGGCATCAAAAGGAACCAAGAACACAAGTAAAGACTTTGACACGGTCAGGAATGCCACGGTCACACCAAGGATGCACCAGACCGTGGCAAACCCTTCTTTGCCCATCAAGGCCGGGTCAGTACCCGGTTTGTTCCGGGTTGACCTGGTTCGCCCAAGCCTCCTTTATAAGGTTTTTAGACCTAATTTGTAGAGAACACTTAATCTACTTTTAGACTTCCTTTCCCCTTTTGTGAAAAACCACTTAATACACTTTGTTTTAGAGAGTTTGAAATCGTTTTGAAGTTTCTTTCCATCTTGTTCATCATTTCTATTCATCAAAATCAACTTCTAATCATGATTAACAACACATCTTGCAAAGGATCTAGTGTGTTGATCATGATTAGTGAGTAGTTACCTTAATGAGGTTCTAGATGTGTAGGTTAGGGTGCTAAAGTGTTAGATTAGGAGTGATTAGGGCTAGATTCATTGGTTCATCTCTCTAAACAACTGTTCTCTATGCTAGATCCTTGATAATCACTTGAGATCTAGATTCTGGGAATTTCATGCACCAAAAGTGTTTGATGAAATTCCTGAAAGAGTTGTGTTAGAGGTTTAAGTAAATTTTCATCATGGGAATGCTTTGTTAAATGCTTGAATGATCATTGAGAACTGTTTATTAATGCATATTGATTCATATTTCACAAATGGGAATTTGGTTTGAAAATGGATTAGTATAGGGGTTAATACCTTCGTGAGAGGATTAACCTAGACTAGAGTTCTTAATCACTTGAATCATGTCTCATCATTGTCATTAGCATTTCTAGTTTAACACCAAAGCACCCTAACCATCTATCATGTCTAAAATCTGATGCCTCCATCATATCATATTCACACCATTTGTCATTGTCATTTGTCTTTAAACCTGTTTAAGTTGTTAGTCGTCATTAGTTAACCAAAATCACTCTTGTTTGCTTGAATTAAGAACTTGATCACATAGTTTAGTGTCTATCACCACATTCTTGGATTGATTAACCTTTTTGTGCTACTTTGACAAGGGGATTGATAGCCCTGAGACCCTAAAAAGTCTTGTCTATCAGTGTGGTTCCACACAGTCTAGAAATAGCGTCCTTCGGAAGATGCCTTGTTTTTGAAATGAAAAGACCAACAAAAAAAAAAACAAAAGAATCAAGAGGAACAAAAAAGGGTGCAACACGAGGACTTCCCGGGAGGTCACCCATCCTAGTACTACACTCGCCCAAGCACGCTTAACTGCGGAGTTCTGATGGGATTCAGTGCACTAGTGCTGATATAATCGCACCCATCAGTATATGTATCGCATTAGCATATATCCTTTGGGTTTGAGTCCGCAATGAAATCTCTTCGCGTGTGTTGCACTGTTTATATGGGTTTTCCCGCCCAGCTGCGACGAGCATTCGTGCCAAGATATATAAGTTAGGACACCACGTTTGACGACACTAAAACCGGGCTTATGTTTTAAAAAAACGCCCGGAAGAGGGTCTTAAACTCAAAATTTTGGCCTCGTAAACCGCACCCTTGGTCTTTAGACTCTTGGGCAAGCCTGAGAGCACTCTAGGGGCTTCCGAAAAGTGTTGTAGGAGGCCTGGTTCCACACGGTCTAGAAATAGCGTCCTTCGGAAGATGCCTTGTTTTTCAAATGAAAAGACCAAAAAAAAAAATAAAAACAAAAGAATCAAGAGGAACAAAAAAAGGTGCAACCCGAGGACTTCCCGGGAGGTCACCCATCCTAGTACTACTCTCGCCCAAGCATGCTTAGCTGTGGAGTTCTGATGGGATTCAGTGCACTAGTGCTGGTATAATCGCACCCATCAGTATA